TTCAAGAGGGGTTTAGAAGAAACCATGACATCAGGGATATCATTGTTGATGTTAAATGGATGTTGGCTGAAAGCAGAGAATTCTAGAAGAATGTATATCTGTGTTTTATTGACTATGCAAAGGCATTTGACTGTGTGTATCATAACAAACTTTGACTAACATTAGAAGAATGGAAATCCCAGAACAATTAATTGTGCTCATATGAAATCTGTACTTAGATCAAGTAACAATTGTCTGAACCAGCAAAGGAAAACTGCATCAGGGATGTATGTTTTCTCCATACCTATTCAATCTGTATGCTGAACAAAATTGTGAATCCAGAGTCTATGAAGAGGAATGTGGCATTGGGGTAGGAGGAAGATTTATCATTAACCTATACTATGTGAATGCCACAACGTTGCTTGCTGAAAGTGAGGAGAACTTGAAACTCTTTCTGCAGGTCAAGAGCTATAGCCTTCAGTGTAGATTATATTTCAATGTCAAGAAAACAAATATCCTCACCATGGGGCCAACAGACAACATCATGATAGCTAAGAGAAAGGACTGAAACTGTCAATGATTTCATCTAGCTGGGATCAACAATCAGCATCCTTGGCACCAGTAGTTAGGAGACCAGAATACACAGTGCTTTGGATAAATTTACTGTCAGAATCTTCTCCAAAATACTTAAAAGCAATGACGTTAAATTGAAGATTAGAGTTAATTTGATTCAGGCCTTTGTGTCTTTAATCACCTGCTACAAATCTGAGAGCTGGACAGTAAATAAGGATAACAGAATGAGAATTGATGACTTTAAGCTGTGGCGTTGTAGGAAAGCCCTGAGTATCCTATGGACTTCCAATAGAACAAACATATATGTCTTGGTAAAAGTGTAGCCAGAGTGCTCCTTAGAGGCAAAGATAATGAAATTCTGTCTCTCCTACTTTAGGCATGTTGCTAGGAGGGACTGTTCCTTGGAAAGAGGCTCTATACTTAGAAAGATGGAGGGTCAATGAAAGAGAGGAAGTCTCCCAGTGAAATGGATTAACGCATAAACCACAGCAGTGGGCTCAAGTCACAGGATAGGACAGTGTTCAAGACTTTTGCTAATAAGGCCACTTTGAGTAAGACTCGATTCAACAGCACCTTACAATATTATTTAGTTCTTAAATGTATTGTTTAGGAGGCGCTTAAATATGGTAGAAATGACAAGATAAGTCACATAATATTTAAAAGTCAGATGGCAATTATTTTCTCAGATGTGTCTTTTTCAGCTAGCACTTATTTTTGTTGGTGTTATTAGATGACATCATACTGATGATGATTCATGGTGACCCTAGGAACAAACATCTGAGTCTTGTCATCTGCTATCCCATCCCCACAATCTGTGAGGTGCTCCAGCCTAATGGTGCAGTCACTGTGTAAATTTGTCTTGTTGAGCATCTTCTTCTCTTTCTCTAACCCACCATTTTTCCAAGGATGATGTCTTTTTCTAAGAACTCACTCTTCCTGACAAAATGCCTAAAATATGTGAAACAAAATTTCACCCATTGTGCCTCTAAGAACCACCTTGGTCATGCTTCCTTCAAGATAGGCTTGTTTAATCTTTTGGCAATCCATGAGATACTCAGTACTCTTCTCCAGTACTATGATTCAAAGGCATCAGTTCTCTGTAATTCTTGCTGTCCAACTTTCAGATATTGTTAGATCTCATCTTATGTACGAGAAGATGTGCTTTCCATTGGAAAAGAAGCACTTTATCTGACTATTGATTACTTTCAACCTTAAAAGCAAAACAAAATAAACAAAACTCTCTCACTTTTAACCTGATATTATCATTGCTGGTAAAGGAATTCTGGTTGTACAGTTTGTAAGGAGCTGTGCTGACAACCCAAAGGCCAAACTTTTCTAAAAATTCAAATCTACCAAGACTTTGCAGGAGAAAGATGAGTAATATCCATGTTTGCAATTTACAGTCACCAAAAGCCAACTCTAAGTCTGTTACCAATCAACTTCAATGATGTTTAGAATTACTGTTTAACCCATGGAAACATATATCTGTCTCTCTCCCATGGGGCAACCTGAGAGTGTAAGCTTCCTTTATGTTGGCAGCACAACTTTCTACGCACTAGGTCATCAGAGCTCCACATTTAGGTTATTTCACTGAAAGTCTAGTCAAAATTCAATTATTGCTCAAATTATAGCTATATTTTGAAGCTCAAAAAGAAAATTATTCTCACCACTGGACCAATTACTTTGATAGATAGAGAAGAGATTGAAATTGTTAACAATTTCTGTTTGCTTGGTTCCACAATCAACAGTCTTGGAATCAGCAGCCAGGAAATCAAAAGATGAATTGGATTAGGAAAGTCTGTTGTCAGGGATGTCTCTAGAGTGCTAAAGTGTAAGACAGCTGGACATAAATAAGAATGACAGAAGAAGAATTGATACCTTTGAGTTGTGGTGCTAGAGAAGAGTATTGAACATTCCATGGACTGCCATGAGAATCAACAGGTCTGTCCTGGAAAGGGTGAAACACACCTGGTCTCTAGAGGCAAGAATTTTAAAGTTCCATCTCATATATTTTGGGCATGTTGCTAGAAGGGACCAGTCCTTGGAGAAGGACATTATGCTTGGAAGTGTAGAGGGACAACAAAGGAGAGGAAAATCCTGGATAAGATAGATTGGCACAGTTACTGAGGTAATAGGGGCAGGTGTGTTGGAGACAGAGAGATGGCCTCAGACTAGGACAAGGTTCAGAGCTATTATACTTGAGTCACTATGAGTTGCAGACAACTTAAAAGCACATAACAATGACAACAACATACCTATCTATATCTATTTGTATACATAAGCACACACAAATATGCATATATGTCTTTGTATCTGTAAATATATACCCACACACATTACTATTAGCTGCTCACAAGTGGTGGTGGTTTTGTTGTTGTTGTGTACCATCAAGTTGGAAGCAACCCATAGCTGACCCTCCAGTAGGTTTTCAGAGACAGTTAATTGCATGTGAGGAGACTGCTCATTCTTCTCCCATGAAGCTACTTGTGGATTTGAATTGCATGAAATCAAGATTGCAGCACAGCTTCTTACCACTAGGTCACTAGAGCTGGTAAGTTGTATGTGACTAAAAGTAACACTGTGAACAGCAGATCAGAGTCTTCCTTTATCCCTCACTTTTTTATCTCCATCAAGCTTTATTTTTCTGAAGACTACCACTCCTTGACAACATGTCTGGAATGTGTGAGACAAAACTTCAGCATCTTGCACTTCCTTCAAAACAGATTTGTTACCTCTTTTCACGTCGATGATAGTCAATAATCTTCCCTAACAAAACAATTCAAAAGTGTCTTCATTTTTTTTAATTTATTAATTTTAATGAAAGTTTATAGAGACTTAGGGTTTCCAGTCATACATTGTTGCACTTTTCTCCCTGCCCACCTCCTCCACCCAATTCACTCATCTCCTTGAAAAAGAAAACTCTTTCATTGTTATGCAATCCCTCCCCCCAAGTGCACTCCACTATGCAGTCTTAATTCTGGACTTCTGTAATGACAAAACTACCCATACATATATCCCTTTTAAACAGTTCTCTCCCTCATTTGTTTCAATGCAATATACATGATTCCTCCCCTCTTTTTCTGTCTTCCCTCAACCCTGATGTCAGTCCCGTTTTACAACAGTGACCCTATATAATATTTGTTCTTTTGTGACTGAGATATTTCGCTCAACATAATGTCCTCCAGGGTCATCCATCTTGCATAATATTTCATTAGTTCCTTGTTTTTCAATGCAGCCTAGTATTCCATTGTATGAATATACCAGAGCTTCTCTAGCCACTCTTCTGTTGATGGGCACTTGGGTTGTTTTCAGCTCTTTGCTATTGTGAACAAAGCAGCAATAAACATGGGTGTGCATATATCTTGGGTGGCAGTTATGATTTCTTTAGGGTAAATTCCCAGTAGGGGAATTTCTGGGTCAAATGTTATTTCTATTTGTAACTTTTTGAGAAAGCATCATACTGCCTTCCACAGTGGTTGCACCATTTTACACTCCCACCAACTGTTAATAAGGATTCCAGTTTGCAGACACATTTTTAGAATTGTTTCCTAGGATTTTAATACCATACACACGTTGTGTTGGACTCCAATAAAAAATTTAACGTCAAAGTGGATAACATCCTATAGCCATTTTAGAAGTCACTCTAACTCTGTACATCTGTGCTTTTAACAAGTTTTGCAATTTCAAATGTGCGGTAATTAGGCATTCTATTGACTAAATTCAACTATGGTCATGACTGATGAATAATAATGGCTATATGTCTCTGCTTGTTTTACTACAAAAGGGTCAAGAATTAGACTATTTCTATGTGTCTTCATTTTCAATTATTCAACTTAGATACATAGGAAATAATTGGAAATATCATGACTTGTTTCCATCACTCTTTACTTTAAACTGATATCTTGGTCCTTTAGCACCTTAAAGAAGTCCTTACAGCAGATTTTCCAAATACATGTAAACAGGAATATATATACACGCACACACATATAAATATATTTATATAAATACATTTATATAAATATATATATAGATATATAAATATTTATACAAATCGATAAATATCTATAATATCTATAAATATATATAAATGTGTGTATATGTATATTCAAATTATGTGTGAAATGTGAGTAAGAATAATAGTTTTGTTAAAATTAGCAGAATATAGTATTTCAGTGATATTAAATTGAATTTGAGGGAAGTGTAATTAAAAGAAATAAAAAACAACTAGTTAACATTAATATACTAGAAGTGTAATTATCTGCATCCTTTGTGGATTTAGAGGCAAAATCATGCCATTTAAAATTTAATATCTGATATACATTATTTCCATTTAAAAAGCACAAATGTTTATTCTAGTATATTTTAGTCAATTAAACCCCCACACTGTATTTAAGGTTTTCTTTTTTTCTATAATTTTATAATAAAAATGTATTCTTTCCTTACTCTAGGCAATACAGCCAAAGTGTATATCGAGATTCAGGATGAAAATGATCATCCTCCAGTGTTTTCAAGAAAATTCTACATTGGAGGAGTATCTGAAGATGCAAGAATGTTTACCTCTGTGCTTAGAGTAAAGGTAGGAAAATCTATATTAAGATACAAATGAAAGTAAAAGCAAAGAGCTCTAGTTTATTATAGAGTTTGCATCAAGGTTGATTATTCATTTTGTCTAAAATGTTGTTGTTGTTGTTGTT